TTTGGACACAGTTCGTTGATCGATCTTTATCTTTCTAATCTGGGGACATTATTTTTTACGATTGACAATAATTACCTGTGTGCATAATTTCTCTCTTGTCATACGCAAAATGATGGATGGAGCTAAGTAATAATAACGATGCATGGCTTGATCAAATATTTCAGTAGCTAATAAGTATTGATGATGAAACCTTCACAGCCGCGTATTATTTTTTCGTGGTCTATTATGCATAAATAAGAAGAAAAATTCGAGAAATATTGATGTGAATTGCTTACTGGTGTTTGTTACTGATACGAGACTGGTAGAAGCCGTATGGATTTTGTTTTTGTTCGTTGTTGTTCTCATATGACGACGTGTTTATGCGTCGATCAAAACAAAAACTAGTACATTTTTATATCCAAATTTGTTGTTGGATTGTAATTCTAAATAAATATAAATGAAACTTATATATTTGTAAAATGAGACTGAATAAATGGCGTTTTTTTTGGAAACAATAAACAAGCAAATGTATAACATAAGAGCAAGGCATGCTCATGAAATAAATTTAACGCAATAAAATATTTGTATCAATTCTAAAGATGATTTACGTAACAAGTAATGCTCATCTTTGAATTCATTGATCCTTTTCTTAAAGAGATAATACTAGTTTGCTCAATACACTGCAGGATCCGATCATATAGTGATTTTGCACTGCTATCAGTACGTATAATAATCACCACAGACGACTACAAAATTTTCAGACTATTTCATATCACCCCCGAGAAGTTATTAAGAAGTTTGTTTCGACGAAAAAAAACTACAAATTCCGAATCACCATGGTCGATTACTCGCTTCGCCGTTGAGATCTTGAGAGGATACTGCTGACAATAAGTCAAATAAAAATTCCAAAATACAATGAGAAAAAGATAAAACAGAACGGGAAAATGTCACATGCTCCACACAGAATTTGAACTCGTATCACATCATATATGCTCTTATCCGCTCAGCTATAGGCAAATTATTGTTCATTTTCATCACAAAATCAGTGAACTTAATTTCCGACAGAAGGATCTGATTGTAGTTATACGAAAAGTTCTGGATCTTTTTCATGAAAACGAACACGTAGAATAATAAAAGGGTTTTGTGTTGGTATAACTGGCTTCGGTTTTTTAAGTTGAAATCGAATTTTCCCAGTACCACACATATAACCTTGAGGGTATGGTTTTGGGTGCTATGGATATGGTGGGTATTCTATGGACGAAATATGATTGGTTGTTTTGTGAGTGGTGCTAGCTTCACATCGATCATTTATTTTTTAACGTTTTAGCAATTAAAAATCCATTTTGTTCTACACAAACTCTCATAACATATGAAAAACATAAAAAGAAAAGAATTCTAATAACTTATCTCTTTTTCTTTCGATTTGATCATTTATTTTTTTATTTTTTTGTCGCGCTGAACTTGCAACAGAATGAAAGAAAAAAGAGTCGTGAATAGAAAGCCACGTGTTTATTCTATTGCCTAGTGCTTCAAACTTATATTTATGATGTCAAAATGTGTAGTGTTTTTTTACGCGGTTTGTGTTCATTTCAAAATTGCTATATCATGACGCGGTAGGAGATGTAACGATTACATTTAAATTCGGTAGTATGATGAAAATCATAATATTGCATCTCTAACGATAGTTAGATTAATCAAGATATGTGATATTTATTTTTTTTTTTTTTTTTTTTTTTTTATTATGCTGTATTTAAGTTAATTAATGCCTTACGGCCTATTAATACATAATCCATGGAATAATATCTGACAATAAATGAATTTAAATATAAAAATAGGTGAGCACTATAACACAAGTACAACAACACTAGTATATTAAGAGAAGCGTACCTTAGCAACACCATGCAGACGACATATACAAGTTGAAATTAGAAATCAATCGAAGAGAAAAACAAACAAATGACAACACGCATTAGTAGAAGAGAAGGAAGGCAAAAAGAGGAGAAAATATTATAAGAAAGATTCAGGAAAGTTTCTCAAGATGTTAAGATCATCATTATTAATTGAGGGGATTGAATCTTCCACATTCTTATCTATCCAACAAAGGATATTCTCAATGGAGGAACTATAGGGAACTATACGTTTTGATCTATATATAAATTTAATGATCGAGTCCTTCCTAAGCCACTGATTTCTATAGAAGTTAAAGTTAGCTTGTTCATAGAGGAGAAGTTCATCGGTGGTATTGCTCAGTCCCTTAATGTATTTTCTCAAGTAGGTGGAACAGTAATTTTCTAACGATTTTTCGTTAGTTAAAGAAACAAAAAGAAAATCATTCCAGTGGGGGATCCTTAGGGTTCTCTTAAGGCAAGTAACGAAGAAGTGTGAGAGATCATCTCTCTGGCGATGGGTCAAGAGCGGAAAAATAACAAACAACCAAGTGAAAAGGGGTCTGACGAAAGTTGTAAATAGGATTCTTCGGAAATCGGTTGAGGACGTTCCGTATAATCTGAACGACTTAACTATCCCTACCCTTTGCCTAATCTTGGTTTTATAGGCTGAGATCAAGCTGTCCCAGCTTAATTTGGGGGACAACAAATATCCTAGGTACTTATATTTCTTTACCCAAGGTATATGTTGGCCCCCCATCGCAAGTTCAAAACGGGGTTTAGGAATGGCTCTGGACGACCAGATCATCTCGGTTTTCCTATAATTTATCGGTTGGACTGAGAGTATCGAGTAGTACTCAAGATACTCGAAAAGTTTTTGGAGCTTTCGTTCCAGGTCAATACATTGTAACGAATATTGAACTCCCATTCTTCCTCCTACCACACACGCTAGGTCATCAGCGAAAAAGTTAGGTAAAGAGTTCTGGAGATACGACCACATATCGCAATGGTACGTAATGAAGATCGCCGGGGTCAGCGATGACCCTTGCGGCCCCCCTTTCTCTATCGGAAAAAATCTGGATCTTATATTGTTAATTTCAATAAATCCTGATCTATTTCTTAACCAACTATCGATCCAAGATATATAAGACTTGGGAACCCCTAGCCTTCCCAACTTTCCTAAGCAGCCTTCCCAGTATAATTGATCAAAAGCCTGCTTGAAATCAATGTATACGGTTGCTACCGGTGCGCTGGTACTCATCAAGGAAGCAATTTGATCAATTAGAACAAGAACACGTGTCTGGAGTCTGAAACTAGATCTAAAACCAGACTGAGAATCACTCAATAAACCTCTATCTTTGAGGACCTTTTGGAAACGAACTAGTATTAATCTCTCCAGAATCTTCAAAAATATGTCGAGTAAGGAGATCGGGCGTGTATCACAAACTGTACATATAGGGTCTCCCTTAGCTAATAATTTCATTTTAACATGTTTCCAATGAGAAGGTCCTTCACTCGTCGAGAGAGAGTTATTGAATATTTTTAGAAGAGGTAACCAGTATGTGTGAGGCATAAATTTTAGCATATAAGAAGAAATTCCATTAGCATCAGTGGAATGTTTTTTCTTAACTTTAGCTACAACTTTTAATAGTTCGGGAAGTGTGATAGGAGGAATAGGTTCATTATTATTTTCCCAATTTACTTTAGGACTGTCAACGTAAGGGTGCGGTCTATATACTATAGGTTCTTTAAACAAGTTTTCATAGTGTGCAGCAGCTAATTCTAGCATTTTTGCTGTGTCCGTAACTATTGCTTTATTGTCATCAATAAATGCTTCTAAAGAGTTGACGCTTTTAAAATTCTTCCTAAGTTTAGACCAGAACTGATTAGACGAAGTAGATGACGAGAAACGATCTTTCAATGCGTCAGCTAAGTTTCTCGATCTAATTTCGAGTAATTCTAATCTGTTATTTTTCCTCATCATTTTTATTTGTTTGTGAAGAGCTACATCACCAGTCCTTTTATGTTGAAAGGATAAAGCACGAGTGTAGGATAGTTTTATCCTCAATTCTTTGGGGATAGCCGAACGATATTTTTTAATTGGAAAATAGGACGTACATCTCGCTTTTAAACAATCTAGTAATGCGATGAAATTATTATAATACTCATCCATCGGCGCAATTTTGCTTTCATTTTCCCAGAATTCTGCTGTAAGCGAGAGAAAAAAGTTATATACTTTCCAATGTATTTTACTGCCTATCTCTTTCTCTTTATTCTCACCGTTCATTATACCTAGTACGGGCCAATGGTCACTAGTTGTATTATCAGAGCAAACTTGAAGTGAGAGTGACCTTTCTTTAGTGAAGGCATAGTCAATAGTTCTATTAGATCTTCGTGACGTAGGGGCATTAGGTGTAACTGGGACTAAACGTACCGATTCAGTCCAATTAAGTAGATCATTAGCTACCACTTCATCGGCTTTATCTTCTAAGTCAATGTTGAAATCTCCTAATAAACAACAATCTTCTGTAATATATTCAGACAGTGAAGTCCACTGCCATGATTTACTTTCCGGAGCATACATACCTATCAGTCTAACCGTATTTTCCAATTTTACATCAACTACACATAGGTTAGGTAATGAACAACTCACGCGCGTTACTGAAAGGCTGATTTTAAGTAACATTATCACCCCGCCCCACGAATTTTCACCTTGTTGATAAAAGTAATTAAAATTAACAAACGTCTGTTTAAGTACAGATATATCAGTTGCACCAACTTCTGTTAGTATTAAGCAATCAACCTTGTATTTATCTATTAGGAGAAGGACCTCATCCCATCTTTCCTCAAGTCCTCTTACGTTGAAAAGAAGTATATTTAATTGTGTGGAAAGAGAATAGGTACATGATTTACAAAAAGATTTCCAGTGAGCAAAGCAAGTAGATAAAGTAGGAAAGAAAAACCACTCGTTAACAATTTTCTTAAGTAAACAAAGATCATGAGAAGATAACATAGAAGAAGCAAGCGATAGCGCAAATTCGATGTCGAAACTCTTATGCTTAACGTTTATAGATGGAAAGAAGGGCGCAGAAAAGGGAGAGAGTATATACTTGCGTGTTGAGCTGACAGAACTTGTTATTGATTGGATGTTTGAAGATGATGTTGTTGTACGTTGTTGGAGGATGTGCTACTAATGTTGTTGTTACAGTTGTTGTTATTGTTAGTACTTGGAGAACCTTGGTTCTTATTATTATAATTCATGATGAGTTTTGTTTTAAGGCTTTCCGTTTGTGCAAATTTATTTGTCCAATTGGATAATTCACCAGCTAGTTTATCACATAAGTTGGTAAGAGATGGACATAATAACGTATTATTATTAATAGTGTTCTGTTTAACTAACATCGGAATAACTTCAATAATCATTTGACATATTGGAGAAATAAATTGACTAGTAAAATCATGCTGAAACGAGATATCAGCTTGTTGTAATTCCGTTATGTGTTGATGTCTTTCAACTACAGTTTGAATGTTGTTAAATTGGTCTAAATATTTGTTATTCAGATCTATTAATCGATTTAAGTTGGAATCTAATTTGTTAATTTTATTAGACAGTTCATCGATCTTTGTATTTGTGTCATTTGATGTGGACCAGGCATTACGATTATTAATATATGAAACCTTTTGATGCTGTTGGTTGACCAGTTGATGTTGTTGATTAACTTGACTGAGTTGTTGATAACGTTGAGAGTAATGCGGTTGCTCATTTTGCTTATAATGATGTTTTGCACCTGATGGATCAAGAAGAACTTTAGTTAAAGCCGAACGAAAAATTTTGATGTCTGGACATCTAACATCATTTGAATCATGTGAACCTTTGCATCGTATACAGCATTGTATTTTGTTACACGTTGTTTTATGTTCATTGATATTGGTAACACCTTCACCACATGTTCGACAATATTCAATTTTACTTGGACAGGTACTTCTGAAGTGACCGATCCTAAAACATTTGTTACAAACCAGCACCTTGGCTGGTGCCAAGTATTCGGTAACTGTAATACGAATATAATTTACATAAATATATTTCTTACTCCTAAGTTCTTCGATGACCTCCACCTTGTTAATGTCGATACGAACGAATGTTGTTGGTTGATTGTATTTATTCGTAATTCTGTGTGCACTAATAATTTCAGGATAATCATTTTTTGTTTCTAAGAGAAGATCATTTACTTCCATATCCACTGGAACATTACGAAGCATTAATGAGAACTGAGGTGGTAAATGGCTTGGTTTAATTTTGATAAACATTAATGAGTCAATAGTATTTGGCCATTTTTGATCATCATACAACATAGCAAATGATTCTCTGTTACTGGCAAACAAAATTAATTCACGTTTGTTTTTCATACGATGTCCTGCAAGTGCTATATCGAAATTATAATTCATTGTGAAATGTTTCATCAAATGTTGAATGATATTTTTTTCGATCACATCTATATTAAATTTAATAACGAAAGCTGGAAAGGCGTAACGTGTTTCAGCAAATCTGAGAGCTTGTTCAGAGATTTCGTTTGGATTACAGCTAGTATCAGAAGTATAATTTGTATCTGTTGGAGGATGTGTACGATCATTAATTGTTGGAATACTCTCAGTAGCAATAATACTGGCAGTATTAAACGATGTAGAATTGGAAATAACATTTGCCGAGTTGGAAATAATTGTCGTAACTGATGAAGGTATATCTTTTGGATCAGAATCAGTTTTTGCTTTTTTATTTTTATTATTAGATTGTTTGTGTTTGACTAGTGTGAAGTTAGAGTTATTGTCATCTTCCATATCCGTAATATCATTAGTATCATACTGGGGACAAGGTGAACTATTAATGGTGGGTGAGTAAGAGTTGATAGATGTCGTTGTTTGTTGGTTAACTTGCTCGATATTTTGTACAATTGGTTGTTGCATCTTGATAGGAGAGCATGTATGATTAATACCACTGGTTCTTCTTTTGTTTGAATTATTAGTACCCGATGAACTAACTTGTGTAGTGCTACTTGTCTTGACTGGTGAAAGATTATTAATTTGAGGTGATGTTGGATTACGAAGAGTGTTTTTAGAAGTGGAAGGAGTACGACAGGATGTTGATTTATCTTGATATTTAACTGTTGAATTTGGAGAAGATGGTTGGATAGTAGAAGCAACCCGACGGGACTGCCTAGTCATGGTGCCCTAAATCGGCAGTACCGAAAGGTGATGAAAGTCAATTGATGGTTTGGTTCAGAGACTTATTTTCTTGTAGTTGAACAATGGAAAAAATGACCTTGATAAGAAGATATATATATATATATCGAAGGAATACGATAAATATTATACGAAGAAGAACACGTCTTATTCGTACTTGTGAATAGTGTCGAATGAGATATGTGATATTTATTGCAATCATTCTACCGTTGACTCTAGATGTCGTAAAAATTTCGTACAAGACAACTCATATTTTAGTGTTTCGTAGCTTTGTCATCTTTTTCAAGTAACCAACTAAGTGTATATAATTCAAAAATAATACTAATATTTCATTTCGTTATTGGTAATAATTCTAGATATGAAAATAGGTATAATTGGTTCTGGTTTTGCTGGTTTATCATCAGCTTTATTTCTGTCTCGTAATAAATTGAATGCAATCACTCTCTATGATAAATTTGATAAAGTTCAAACTGTTGGTGCAGGAATTCTAATACAACCATCAGCAATGGAAATATTTAAAAAATTGGATCTTTATGAAGAATTTATAAGAAACGGTGAAAAAGTTTATGATCTTGAAGGAACAAATCATCGTGGGCAAAAAGTATTTTTAACATCTTATAACGATTATGCACCCGAATGTTTTGGTATTGGAATACATCGTTCACTCCTATTCCAGTCATTATATAATAAATGTAAAATGCAATCAAATATCAAATTTGAATTAAATCATGAAATTATATTTTTAGAAGATAATAGATCGGCTTATGATCTATTAATCGTAGCAAATGGTTCACATTCTAATCTAAGAGATCAAGTACCTATTAAACAATCTTATAAATTATATCCTTATGGTTGTTTATGGACAACTATTGAAGATGATCGAATTGCTCCTAATCAATTACGACAATATCTTAAATATTCACAAGAAATGTTTGGTATTCTACCATCTGGAATAAACGATAATCTTAAACGCATTGTTAGTGTTTTTTGGAGTTTGCCGATTAGATTAAAAAATACTTATTCAATAGAAAACATTTTAGAATCTATGAAATTTTATTTAAATGAAGAAAATAATGATTTTTTCGAAAAACTCAAACAAGCTAATTATTCATTTGCTGTTTATGCTGATGTTTATATGCAACAGTATCATCATGAAAATATTGTTTTTATTGGAGATGCAGCACATGGAATGAGTCCTCAATTAGGTCAAGGTGTTAATATGGCATTTATAGATAGTTATTTCTTAGATAAAGCATTAATCAATAATAATGATAATATTAAATTAGCTTTGAATAATTATACAAAATTAAGAAAAAAACATTTGAGATTTTATAGTCAAGCAAGTAAATTTTTAACACCATTATATCAAAGTGATCAAGAATTCTATGGACGATTTCGAGATTTACTTTTTACAATATCAAAACAAATGAAATTTTCAAGAAAAATATCAAGTCAAATTTTGTGTGGAAAGAGAACTAGCTGGATAACAAATAAAGAAATTCAATATTAAAACAATGCATAGATAGGACATTTTTTTTCATTCATATTCAAAAATTAAGATTGACTCAACACTTACTATTTTGATTGACAGCATTCTATATTACTAAAAAATAAATTGTCATGTACATTTTCTCTCAGAAATAGACTTATATATTTGTTAAAAGTGTTTGATTCACGAAGTCAAACGCTTTGAAACGTTGGTAGATTAGTATACTTACTTAGTACTACCATCTTGAGGGTGCGGATGTGGGTGTGTGAAAACAAAACAACTTTCTACTCATACCCACACCCACACCCAGCTCTTGATATTATCAAGTCAACATTGCCGGTTGATCAACAAGCTTCAGTACGTGTGCAACTACGAAAAAAATGATTGGATCTGGATGTTAGTTTCGTCAAAAATTCATATCTCATCCACGTCTTCTCACACATCAATATGTCGAGGGTTATATATATTTTTCTTTCTTTCCTTTCTAATTTTACCTAACTTTTAGTTGAGTTTCTCACACGTTGGAGTAGAAATAGTTATGATTTTTGTTATTGAAAATTTGATAAAATTGAAAGCAATGATGCATACCGAAAACTTATACATAAATAAGTGTGTCTTGTATTGATTGATATAGGGAAAAATATGATGTATTTTCATGTTCATATTGTTTTTCCTCATCACTTTTATAAACACTCTTTATATTTGATCGCTGTCGATATGTGTCATTCAGTTGTTTTCTTCTCTTTTATCGATATACTTGATTGCTCTGTTTTTTCTCTTGTCAATATATCAAGTATGTTAGTGACATTTTTAGAGATGACAGACATTATTCGACTGAGAAAGGGATGTTCATTTACTGTAAATCCTTAAATTAAAGTACACCCCATTTATTCTTTACTGTAATAAAAAGGAGTTTAAACCTCAATAGAACTATAGATTCAAGCACTACTGCTAAGTAAAAAAATTTCTAAGTGTATTTATTGGTAAAAAACACATTTTAACAAGTAAGAAACATACATTTGATAAGTAAAAACAAATGACGGGCAAGTTGTGATTTTCTGTTTGTTTTCTTGTATGTGTTTCTTTTTACACACATCACATATGTTACGTTTTTTTCTTTCTTTTTCTACGTGTCATCTTTTCATATGTATAATATGTTTGTTGAGATTTAATTCAGTCACTCTACGTTGATCACCCGATGGACGTTTCTCAGTATTATTCAATGAACTATGTGAAGTTACTCACACCCTCAAAATTTGTGCTCAATAAATGACTTGACGCTTAAACAGGTACCATAGAAAAAGTTAAAATATTTGATTTGTTATTGTTATAGAAATAAAAATTCATTATAATCAAACGTGAAGAATGTTTGTAGAACGTCAACCTCAATATCACAATTTAAAATACATATTACTTTTCGTAATTATGACTTGTCCCATTTTTATTATGTTCTTTGTTGTAAACAAATATACAAGTATGATTTCATTAATGAAGATATCAAAAATAGTAATGCATAAGCCCTTGACTACCGTCATACCTTGTGTTCGATATATACCGCCCGATAATCGTTCCTTTTACGAACAGGAGTATCCTCAATCAAATTTACCACAACGAATATCAAATGCATCCTATGAAAATATTCTTCGTCAACTTCCTTCTCTTCGATTAGTTGTCCTAGGATGTGCTCGTAATGTCGAACCAAATCTTGATGAATTTCGAAGTCATATTGAACCAATTATTAATCTCTTTCATTCATCATCTCGTATTTTTATTTTCGAAAGTGATTCAAAAGATAAAACTGTGAAAAAACTTCGTGAATGGACTCGTGTAGAACTTTATACATATCGTAGATTAGAAGGACAGTATCCAGGACGTTCTGAACGACTTGCTCATATTCGAAATGTCTTAATGGATAAAGCACATGTTTCATCAGCTGATTACATTTTTGTTGTTGATTTAGATAGAATTTCAACAACTGTTCCCTCTTTTCTTTCAAATTTTAAATATGATACAAATCAATGGTCAGTCATGACAGCAACATCACATAATCACTATTATGATATTTGGGCATTACGCACCTTATCGAACTCAATTATGAATTATGATATTTGGCGTCGAGTGTCGGAATTGGAACGATCTCCGAGCAACTATTGTCACCGGTCACTTCTTGATGGAATTTATGGAATTCATAAAAAGCGTATTCCGATTGAACATGGTTTAATTGAAGTACGTTCAGCCTTTAATGGTGCTGGATTATATAAAGTAAAATCGACATATAACTGCAAATACGATGGTAATCGTATTTGTGAACATGTGCCATTTCATTTGTGCATACGAGAAAAAAATCAAGCAAGAATATTTATTAATCCCGAGTTTCGAGTTAGTTAAGTATAAGTAATTTGGAAACACAAGAGTGTAAGTTCGAATGAAATTGTAAATATAAATATATTCGAAATACAGTAGTTTATACTCTTAGATTTTATTTTGTTATGATAAATAAATAGAAAAATAAATAAAGAAAAATGAAATCTAATAAATTTTAATTGATATTCATTGATAAATCTCAATTATAATCAGAGGTGTGGATGTGAACATTAGCGAGATTGCTAGTGTACAGATGAAAAAATCATTTACTCTGACAATTTTTTCTTCGCTTTTTTTCATATAATTTATTAGTTATTGGAAAAAAAGAAAATGATGAATTTCAATTTTTTTCAAGAAGATGAAAGTAAATCGATCATGTTTATGTATATGTTATTTATTTAATTGATGATTGTTTTTATCCAAGCTTTGTAAGCTGATACACGAGTATAAACATTTGGTGAATTAGTAGATCCCTTTGTGTTGCAATCCTTGACATAGCTAGTGACACCAGATACCACATATTGTCCATTGTATTGAGCTAGAATAGGTCCACCACTATCACCGTGACATGCTGAACTTCCATCGATAGAGTTGGCCACGCATATTTGTTTTGAACTATCTACGGATGGCCACCAAGAATCACATTTATCGACAATTTTTGTAGATGCTTGTTTAAGTATATCATTCACTGTTCCAGCAAACACTTGAGCACCCCATCCAGCGATAACCACTTGATCGTTTGGTTTTGGTTCTCCACCGGGTAAACATGCTGGTTGAACATATGTATTCAATATAAACGGTACACTTACACGCAATACGGCAATATCATTTATATTGGTTACTGTATCATATTTAGGATGAACATAAATCGATTGAACAGTTCGAAATTGACGTGTAGCTGTCTCTGTAGTTGACACTCGATTATGCATTCCTGCAATCAACGTAATGTCTGTTGCATTTTTCGTGCCAATACAATGAGCAGCTGTAATAATATAATTTGCATTGATCAAAGTACCGCCACATATACCAGAGCATACATTACTACCACATAGTTTCTTCTCTTGATAATAAATCATCTACATTTAAGATAAATAAAACTATAAAACAATTATATAGAATAAACTTTTAATACTAACCCAAGGCCATGAATTTGCAATAGCATTTTCTCCACCAAATATTCGACTCGATTTACTTGATCGTGGTGTAATTAGTTGTTTACCACAAGTGCTACTATCAAGTGGCGATGGAGTTGTTGTTGTAGTCGTCGTTCCAACAAATGAACCCATTGGACAATAGTATCGAACTTGAAAATCGACGCCACCAGGTGCAAACGAATAGAATGATAACAGATAGAGTGTAGTATCCGGCCATTTCCAGGACCATTGAACCGACCAACCACCCGTTCGATAGTTGACTGATTGAGCTTGAATAGCCAATGGAATGCGGCATAATGTTTTGGGATTTTGTGTAAATATGATACTCATATCTTCGCTATCACCACTTGTATTATCTTTTGGTTTGCCTACATTAAACCACATTGTCCAACCACGATTAACAGAACAATTTTCTTCTGTGACATTAGAGGGATAGAACACATTGATGGCTCCCTGAACATTGTATAACAATAGACTAACAATAAAAACACGTGATACGAACATTTTAATCAGTAATTCACTGACTAGGCTTGCAGACAAATGAAAGACAACTGTTGTATTACCATTTTATATTATAGGTATGATATTTAGAGAAAGAAAACAATTTTTGTCTCAAGAACTTGTCATTTACATTTTATTGACGTAAAAAATAACGCATATGTGCAATCTTTACCGATGAATGGGAGTAAGTCATGACAAAATAATGAGTTTTTCATCTTATTTTATGACATGCTTAAGTAAACTGAGATAAATACTAGCGATTTATAATAATTGTGAATAAGCATTTATAACCGTTATATAAGTTCAAGTGAATCACTTTAGTAAATATTATGTACAGATCACTTTTCAAATGAATCACCAAAATATATATCATAAGAATGTAGGCGGATGGGAGTGACTATAGATTTCTTTATTGAAGGTGTGGGTGTGAGTGAGTTTTATTGTGTATCATTCTATTAAGAACGAGCGATCCATTTCAACAATATATGTACATATTGTAAATATTGTAAATATTGTAGATAGAAAAGCTACAAGAATTTTAAAACCGTACAGAAAGAAATGGTCATCACGCATTTTCTTTTTCTGATACTTCACCTTCTGTAGACTTTCAATTTTTGGTAGCAAAGTTATGTTTCACAAAACATGTATTTCGTATTGAGGGCGTGGGTGTGGGTGGATATAGATGTGAGTATCTGTGTGGATTTTGATATGGCTGTGGATGGGGATGTGGATATGAGTATGGGTGCAGCGCTGATATCGTGTACCATATACCCGCACCCGCACTAATACCGATACTCACATCCATACCCGCACCCACATCCTCAAGATGATTACTTTTATTTGCATTCCTATTAATTCTATTTCTCTACTGATTTCCTCCAGACAGTCCGAGCAAATATTGCAATAAAATGATGCAAGTATAGGGTTTTATTTCTTCCTTCTTCTGTCGCAACCTTTATTTTTTTCTCATTATAGATGCATTTTCTCGATAAAAAAAAAATAGTTCTTTTTTTGTTTTATCTAATATTTATATTAAAACACCAATCAAGAATGGACGTCTCCGCGACATCATCTGATGATACACTTAAAAAGCGTTATGCTGAACTTGCGGAGAAAACAGCCAGGGCAATAGCTGACGAAGGATCACCACCAAACATCAATGATCGACCTGCAATTCCAAAGTCTCTTCCTCCATTGCCACGTTATGAACCACCAACATCTACATATCTACTTGTGCAACGGATTCTTCAACGATGCGACTAAGGATCGACGAGCACGAGAAAGTTAAGCAAGAATAAAAAAATAAGCAAGTTTATCATATGATTAATAAATAAATATTATACAACAGAAAACATAGATATTTACGAAAAAGTCTGTCGGTGTTAATTAGAAATAAATACAATATCTAAAATCACAACCGGCACAGAAATACGCACCGTATTTGGTCGTTTTCTCTCTGTTCACTGATAAAATTCGAATTGTAAGGTACGATTCTTGTGTGATCTCATTTCATATAAGATTTTAAAGCGAGTTTACATGCATTTTTTATCGATTTCATCGCTCTGTTCTAATCTCTGATCTTCGCTCTTTCCGAAATCAATCATTCCTCATCACCGTCTCCCCTTTTTCATCACTTGCCACCAAACATCATCAAAGCTATGCATATAATTCATACTGACTATTTCAACGATGCTAGCAAAAGATCTAAATAAAAAAATAACGATTTAATATATAAAAATCATACTTGATTATTTGACAATTTGATTGATGTGTCTAAATAAAAAAAACGACAAGTCAATATATAAAACTCATATTTGACTATCTGAGGATTTGACAATTTGATTGAAGTATCTAAATGAAAAAACTAACAATTCAATATCTCCATTATGGCCCGTACAAACGAGCTGATTTTTTGATCAACGATAAAGACATGTTCAAAGTGTATACCCAATAAAGACGTGCCTAAAGAGATCCTTTGTTAAGTATCAATATTGATCTCAAGAAAAAAAAATTAGTTTATCATGTATGGAGAAAAAAATTATATGTTTACCAAAAGTCTAGCCAGACATCTCTTTATTATTGATAAAAAGCTCAGTTTGTTTCCTGAAGCCGCAGTGGAAATATTTAATATGTCGACAAAGTATGACTTTCGCGCCAACTTGTATATTACTTTTTTTTCCCATACGTGAAAAAGTCATTTTTTTTGTTGAGATCAATATTGATACTTAATAAAGGATCTCTTTAGGCACGACTTTATGGATATAAACTTTGAACATGTCTTTATCATGGAAAAAAAATCAGCTCGTTTAGACGGGCCATAATGGAGATATTAAAATTTCTTGAGGGGTGGGTGTGGGTGTGATTGTGCGTTGGTATCAGCACGAAACCAACACCTACACCTATACCCAAACTCTCACCCACACCAACACCCATACCCTATTATTCTATTTCAGAATTTATAATCTTGCAATAAAATACCAACATCATTGACATACTCGGGTGGATTGTAGAGAAAAGAAAGAAAAGTGAAGCAACAACTCATTGGATAAATACTTGTGGGAAAGATAGAAGAAAAGAGGCTTCATTTATCGCATCATTCTTTGTATTTATTTACTGATAATGTCGTTATCCAAGTTTGAAACACTTCCAAATGAAATCCTTATGGAACTCTTCGAGAAATACATCAATGGTCTCGATATTGTGAATGCATTCGCTTTCCAACTAAATCGACGAATCGACACATTGATTCTCCAATGCCAACGTTTCCAGTTTGATTTCATCCGATGTCATAAAGATGATTTTGCTATCTGTCTCAATCTACTACCCGCTTACTCAAGTAGAATCGAAGTGTTAGGACTATCCGAGCACAAAACGCCCGGACAACTCTATGCTTTCTTAAAATCATACCCAAAATTTAGCTCATTTACACAGCTTCGTCGACTTTACTTTCATATGGATCCGAATACTTGCGATCCGCAAATGATACAAAAAGCTTTGGATTCACTTGCCGACACACACATCGAGACACTTGCGCTGAAGATGGTTAGCATGCCAGAAGAGCATTACTGTGGCCGTGGTTTGAACTTAGCACAGTTGTTTCAGCTCCCAACGGTGAAAAAACTGGCTTTTGCCATCGATGACGGATTTCCATTCGATTTCTCCAATAATGTAATGAAACCTTCGAACATCGAATGTTTCACTTTTGCGAATCCGGAAATTAATTTTGGTTACTTCAGTTTTCTATTACGATCGATGCCGAATCTGAGACATCTCTATGTTCGGTTGACTTCTAGAAAATATGATTCCCAACAGAACCGAGATGTCAATCTAGATAGACCATTTCCATTGATGTTCATGATGAAGACTTGTATTGTTCATGTCGACGATGGAAAACCGATCGATTTCGATCTTCTGGCATATCACCTCAAAGCAATGCCTGATTTACTTCAACTAGAAGTCACTGCACCTCATAGACTTTTCAATGCACAAAATTGGGAAGATCTAATCATATCATCACTGAAGAATCTCGTTCATCTACGTCTCTATGCTACGATCCATTATCGAAATCCGGAAACTATTGTACAAATCACAAATGCATTCAAAACTTCATTTTGGATCAAGAAGACGAATTTTTCCTTCATACTGATGCAACTGGCCCAGCATAAGAAAGTCAGAGAGCAGAGTGAAACAATTGAACGTTTGGGTCGAGCCAGTTTCAATATCTATGTTTTAGAATTCTGGACAGGAGCCGTAAGAAGCGATACGTTCCTGCAAAATCCGATGGTCTTTGCGGGAGAATGGGGCAATCAAATTCATGAGAGGAAAGACGATTATTTTTACTATAGTGAACATATTGGTTGTCAGAATATGGATCAGCCTATGGCCGATTGGTTCAAAGGGCATGTGAACTGTTTGAAAATTAAACATTTCGAAGGGCGACACTTTTGTAAAGGAACAGAACTATCGATCTTTCCTAATCTTCGAACTGTTCGATTACCACCAAAGGCATTGACTGCTCTAATCAAAGATATATCTCAAGTTTTTCTTACTGTTCAGTATCTCGATCTTCGTGACGAAATAGACCTATTCCATTCTGAATGCGTCGATCAAATACGAACATTATTTCCGAATGTCGAACATCTTGTGTTCAATACAGAGTCGTTAGACTGCGTTCCAAACTTAGCTTGTTTTTTACCACGACTTCGTTCTTTGACTTGTATGGTGTATGATCAAGACCCCAATTTGGACCTCGACTCAATAAGATACGATTTGTGCATGTGGTCACGCAGACTGCAAGAAAAGTGTGGTTTATTCTTTTGTCGTGAAGAAGCTTTTTTGATTATCTGGCTTGACAAGGCTTCAATCGAAAATACTCAATGGTCTACTATCCATATAAAACCCACGCCTGAAAAGGAACAACAGCGTCCTGTTGCCTTATTCGATGCCTCCAATCGTGAAGACGATGAAAATGATTACTATGGTCGTCAACATCGCCCACTTCGATCCCATCTGAATGATTCCTTTCTTGACAAGAATCCATCTAAAAATAAAAAGACGTTTAACGATACTTTTCCAAATTCAACGACGTTACGTGAAAATTTGCGCAATCGCTTTCGTTATTTTCTTCGATTTTTCAGAAATACGGCAGCTTTTTCACGAATTTTCAAGTGTTAGTGATCTTGTAACGACAATTAATTGGTTAAATCTGATGAAACACTCTTGTGACTTTAACGCGCTTTATCGAATGAATTTTGTTTTAATCTTTAAAAACTTATATTTATAGTTAGATATTCCACTGACTTCAACGTGTGAAATGCCTTAAGAGAAGGTCTGCCAGAAGGCCAACCAATTTTCTAAGGGTGGGTGTGGATGAGAGAGAGACACCCATGTCTTGTTTTTTATTTAAATATGAGAACATCGAATTCATTTTCTTTTAGGCATAACTGCGCTTGTTTTATTTAACAAAATATATATATATGAATAAGAAAGAAAGAAGTAACGAAAGTATAGATGCCCTGATCGAATATCATAACACTGACTCATAAGAAAAAGGGAATAAAAGAAAAAATGATGAGTAATAACTTTTACTTCTCTGCGTTACTTGGTAAAAACCGATTTGCTTTTGATATCATATATATAAAAGGAAACGAAAAAACATACAGATTTATTTATTATTTCATCATATTTGTAAGTAAAATAGACATTACTTCAGATTCCTATAACGAATATTTATATCGGAAATTTGAATAAATATGGAAATGTCAACAATAGATGAAGAACAAATGAATTTTATTTGTTTATATCCAGATATGAAATCGAAGATTTGATAACTCACTTATATGAAATAAATAATTCGTTTAGTTTTCATACAAATATTCAGTCTTGCATTAAATTTATGAAATTAATTAAAAATGAAAAAATTCTTCTTGTTACTTCTGATTTATATATTCCACAAATTTTATCTCATGTTGATATATTTCATGAAGTTAATTTTATTTATATATATTATTCAAATAAGGATCAATATAAATATATATTTCATGAAAGTTTAAATATAGTTGGTATTTATGATAAAATTCCTTTATTAATTTTATCAATCCAAGAACAAATTATTTCAATAAATAAACAATTTTATCAATGGACTTTTTTTAATGAAGAAAATTATTTGAAAAGAGATTTATCAAAACAAGCCAATGATTTTCTATGGATTCATTTATTTCATCGTGTTATTACACAACTTCCACGTAATAAACAAGCTAAACAACAACTGATAGACTATGTTCGTCTTTATTTGGAAGAAAACTTCGAAGAAGAATATCAATCAAATGATACTATTTATTGTTATTGAAAGAATTCTTCTCTGCAGAAGATGATTAACCCTTTACCCCCTGGCACTAATCCAGCAGAGTTGTTATTAAGTCGACCATAGTAAAAGATCATATAAGTGCTCAATATGACAATGATATGGTTGAATTTGAGCGAAGTCGTTTGTTTCGTTCTGTTCTTCATTGGTTGCTTCCTAACCTATGAAATAATTTAATAAACATAATTATTATTACATACAACAAAACTATACTTTTTTAGTTTGTTATTACATAGAAATCGAAGAGAATAGAAGAAATATTTGCATGACTTTATACATGTAAGAAAAGGTACTTTTTCATTGATGTCTAAGCTAATATAACTTTGATTATGACGAAAAATAATTTTATTTCGAATATAAATCAATGATATGTTCCAAACGTTAGGAATATCAATGATCAGGACAACTAAACTGTTGTGTTTATCGTTGATCGATAACCATATGTTATTTTCTATTACATGAAAAGTTGATTTTATCATCATATCCACGAAAAAGAAGAAAATACATCAATTTAACTAATGAAATTCTTTTACATTGGAAACTCTGTTTACATTGATTATTTTCTATTTGTTCAATTAATTGTCTACAATGTCTTGCGTTGTTCGTAATTTTCAAATTGTTTTTTTTGTAAATAACAATTTGTGACAACAGTATTGTCAGAAGGAAAATAAGGCTCCACTAGCGTTTGTTAATTAGCAAAGTTTGTCGTTACTGCTTTTGTTATGAATCAAAGATATTAAAAAGTTTAGAAAATGAAAGATCGACGTCTGCTAAGCATGTAGAAGCATGAATAAATAAAACGTAACTAAGAGAAAATGTTCAATCTATAGTTTTTTTTCTTTTTCTTCGTTCTATAGAAAATAATTTTCATCTTTTTTTTCTTGGAAAAAAAAGTTCATTTGTTTGAGTTTGAACATTCATTTAACATGAAACATACAATTGTGTTTTTTCTATTTATTATCATTATCATCGTACAAATAAATTCACAAAATACTAACACATTATTATTGTCTCAAATAAATGATATTCGATATCAATGTATCGATCAAGGTTGCTCGACTCCGACGATCATCTCTGGATCAAACATGAAAGCCTGTTATATGACTTGTTTAACAGATATTAACTGTCGTACAATATCATTCGATCAATTTAATAATCAATGTGAATTGTTTGCTGATATTCCAAGCCAATATGGTAGTTTAACAGCACAAGCAGGTGTTACGAGTTTTATTGCTGTTAATCGACAACTATCAGCTCGTAAGCAAAGACTTGACGCATGTTTGTTTAAAGAGAAGTGTCCATATTGCTTGTATAAGAAGGAATATGTGTGTAAGAAAGTAAACACGAGTATTCTGTATTCCAAAGACATTTTTACTAAGAACTTTTAGTTCTTCGGTTTGTGAATGCTATGTTACTACTTATGTGTAGAGCTTGTATAATCAATGTTAAAATCTTGTCATTTTGATTTAATTAATACTGCACTTTATAGATGAGAATCAGGTTTGACGTATATTTTCATTAGTAAATGTGTTGTATAACTACTTAAATTTATTTATTCTTTTGTTTTAGCTATAACGACGAGCTCAACAACATCCACGTAAGTTTGAATGATAGTAAATGCCATAATAGAAAAACTTCAGAATATGTGATACTATAGGCTTGGGCGGATTCAGTGTAGATCTCTTCAAATTATGCATATCAGTCGTATATTCCAAATATTTTCTATGAGTTTTATAATTGAAGCAGTCCGAACAAAGAGTATATTCTCATCGAGTCCAATCAAAGTCATTTATTAAAGATAAAAAGAGTTTCTTGCATATTGACAGCTTTTAGTTAATTGCTATAAAATTTTGTTGCTGACGTGAACAACTTCATCAGTAAATAAATGAAAATAAAATATCGTTTGACACATGTCACTTTCCTTTCTGTGAGCAGTTTCGACAGCGATGGTATGTATATGAATAAGTGAGTATATTTTTGTGCATATTTCATCTGCTCATTGACATAAATTTGCACATCAATAGTTATCCTAGAATAAATCTCAATGTATCAAAAAACAAAGTAGAATATATGTCTGTTGCATTCTGACTGAGAGGAAATAAAATTAATTTTTAAAGATGGTTGTTCATAGAGATTATGTTTTTGGATAAATACTTTAATTAGTGTTTGTATCGTATGTTATTATTTATATATTATACAGAACAACAGCAACCACAGCAACTGTAACAACAACAGTCACAACAACGCCATCGTCGATCTCATCAACAACATCATCATCATCATCTTCATCAACAACAACATCAACAACAACAATCATAATGGGTGAGTAAATATGTTCAATAGTATGCAGTGCTTTCGATATGTATCGAATCAATGTTTACGATGAGTTTAACAGAAAGGAATTGGCTAAAAAGACATTCTGCGATATGTATATTTCTGTAAATCCGTTTTCCAATTTCACTTCAAATAATTTCCTGTGTGATCATTTCATTGTTACATCATCTATAACAATTTAATTAGAAGTTGTTTTGAAGAAGAAATATGTTTTTTTCTCACTTTTTTTTCATATTTAGCATGGAAAACGGCAGCTAATATGAATGGTGGACGAGATACATATGCAGGATCCATATTAACAAATGGAAAAGTATTAGTTACTGGTGGATCTAATAATGGTTATGTCATTGGTACAGAATTGTATGATCCATCGACAAATAATTGGACAACGACAGCAAACTTGAATACCGCACGGTGGCGTCATTCAGCATCTATATTATCAAATGGAAAAGTATTAGTTACTGGTGGACAAGCTAGTAGCGGTTATCTCAACAGTGCTGAGCTGTATGATCCATCGACAAGTACTTGGACAACAACAGCGAACATGAATGTTGCACGATCTCAACATACAACATTCATATTATTAAATGGATCAGTATTAGTTGCTGGTGGACAAGGTACTAGTGGTACTTATCTCAATAGTGCTGAATTGTATAATCCATCGACAAGTATTTGGACAACGACAGGAAACATGAATGTCGCACGATCTCAACATACAGCATCCATATTATCAAATGGAAAAATATTAGTTACTGGTGGACAAGGTACTGGTGGTACTTATCTTAATAGCGCTGAGCTGTATGATCCATCTACAAATATTTGGACAACTACTGGTAGCATGACTAATGCACGATATTATCACACAGCATCTATATTATCAAATGGAAAAGTATTAGTTAGTGGTGGACAGGGTACTGGTGGTGCTTATCTCAACAGTGCTGCGCTGTATGATTCATCGACAAATACTTGGACAACGACAGGAAACATGAATGTTGCACGATATGCACATACAGCATCTATATTATCAAATGGAAAAGTATTAGTTACTGGTGGATTTAGAGATAGCAGTTTTGTTTTAAATAGTGCTGAGCTGTATGACCCATCTACAAGTACTTGGACAACGACAGTGAACATGACTGTTACACGACGTTCTCATTCTGCATTCATATTATCCAATGGAAAAATATTAGTTGCTGGTGGAAATGATGGTAGTGCTACTGTAAATAGTGCTGAATTATATGGATGAACGTGGTCAGAACTACATTTCTTTTTTAGACTGAAATATCAATTTTTTTTTGTAATCAAATTATTTAATCATAAACGCTTTAATATATTATTATTAATCAAATAGTATATCACTTACACTGATTCTAACAAAAGAGATTGATCGATTGTTTCATCCCTGCTCCATTGAATGTGAGGGTGTGTAAGTTAGAATTAAAATATAAATTCGAACAACAAAGCATAATAATATGAATTCAGAAAGGATTATCTATTTATTTTGAATACATCCACAGTCGATATGCTTTATCTACATCTCTATCCAAAAAAACTTGCACGTCTTGTTATGGATATGTGTGTAGGTGGCATATGGATGTAATTGTAGTTGCAGGCGAGTGTGGGTGTATCATATATATGGTACCCACACCTACATTCTCAAGACGTAAAAAACAAGAAGGAACGGTTTTTAAACAATAAGATGACCCATTTTCACATCAATGCTGAATTGTTTTTTTCATCTATTATAGGTATTTTCACACGATTATTTCATGTGATTGATCTCAATCGAAGGCTATGGAACATGATTGATGACGCATCCAATAAGACGAATACAATTAGATATATTTTTCAATGGTTCTTGCATACGAGAATACTTAGTAATGATTATTTTTATGATTGAAATATGGAATCTTACGGTATATGTTGAACGCGCAAAATAATATCCTTTCGCAGATAGATATTTGCCTGCGAAATAGACAAATCGTTCATAGGATTTCTTTAGAAGTTGCATAGACCATGAAAAAATTTCAGCCACTTTGAGGGTGTGAATGAATCTTATCTATCTCACCCACACCCTCAATATGTGTATATATGATTGACTGTATCTGTCTATTGAAAAGAATAAAAACATTGATCAGAGCAGGAGAAGATTCCTTCGATAATCACAACCACACCTACAAAATGATTTTGTGAATGATGTATGTGCCAATAAACTATTTCCTTCTATATTAACATATCTATATTACCTCATTTTTAGATAAGCCTTGGTTCTTGGTGTATACATAATAGAAGTAGACCTCGGCCTTCTATCTTATATAAGAAAAAATATATATCTATCCTTGTGTCTTTGGTTAGTAAACGTCAACCTTCTATCGTATAAAATGAGAAGGTAAGGCTATAGAATTATTTATCCTTGTTTGTAATGACAACATACTTAAACCTTCTATCGTATATAAGAAAACAAGAAAGAGTGAGTGCAAGCGAGGGTAGAAAAGGACGAGCAAGGGAGTAGATACAGAGACACTTCTCCCCGAACAACCACGTGGATCAACATCGTGACTACTCTTAATACATTTACCTATACGTACGTTTTATTGCATGTGTCTATCATTTAATTTAAATAAATATTATTTAAATCCATAACGTTATATTTTATTCTGTTAATTATAAACGACAAAAATATTTCGTTGCAAATATATTCTCTGTGAATAATAAAAACAAAAATATGAGAACATAATGAAATTTTTTTTCAAAAAAGACTGTTTGATGATAATTAATGATAAATTTTTAATGGTGTTTTACACACTTTTTGTGAAATATATATCTATAATTAGAATCTTTTATCTCTAGAAATTTCAGTTCTTTAACTGTAACTAATAATGCGATACATAAATTTAGAAATCGATCGTTATATTACCTCATGAAAGTATCACAAAAATTAAATATTGTCAGTGTTGTGTTTTTCATCTGTAATTATAGTTAGAGAAGTAACATTTTCATAGATAAAATCTTTTGATTAAATACAATATAATAGAAACTTCATTTCTGTATATCTAGAAAAAATATTACGCACTATTGGTCAAGAAACAGTGTTCTTGTCTTTTCTGTTATAGAAAACAAAGAACACGAAGAGTTGATGAATGTATATACATTGATAATTTCTCTTTTAGGTGTATCAATCTTTTATATTATGCATCAATGTAAAATGGCATGGTGTAGTCGAGCAAGTAAAATAGGAGCGCAAGCTCTCGGTGGTTTTTGTGTATGTGTTTTTTTCCTATTGACAACTCAGATCGTTTATACTTATTATGAAACCATCATACCCAGTGCATGGGAGAGAAAGAGCTATATGCAATTTATCTTTCATATTACAATTGGTAATTGGATTGCAATAAATATTTATTTTAATTATGCTATGGCATCTACAACACCACCTGGTCTAGCCAAAGATTATCAGAACTTAGCAAGTCAATATCCTTTATGCAAAAAATGTTCAATGCATAAACCACCTCGAACTCATCATTGCCGTTGGTGTGACGCATGTGTGCTAAAATTTGACCATCACTGCATATGCAAGCAACAGTTTAAAAATTGAACTATCTTTGTGATTGATTTTGTTTTATTATAGGGTTGAATAGTTGTGTTGGTTTTTATAATCATCGATATTTCTTTCAATTTTGCTGTTTTATGGCCATCGGATGTATGTATGCTGGGACGATGGGTTTTCGTGAATACCAAATCGCTCGACTCGGAGAACATCGGTAAACGGCATCGCACGATTTTTTTTTCATTTTGATTATATTTTATATATTATGATAATGACATAGATGTCAGAACAAATGATGCTTATATTACACTAAAATTTGAAATCGCTAGAATGCATGTTTTAATCTTTTAATTAGATCCGTTTTTGGATTTCGTATAAATAGACGAGAGTGTACTATGAGAATTTCTTTTCGTTTAGATTCTCCCATCTGGATATATTCTTCAAACCATTTATTGTTCTCAATGCATTTGGAATAATTAATTATATTACATATTCCATATTTATTGCTGCATTAGTAGTTAGTTTTCTATTAATTACTCTTGTTTGTTGGCATGGACGAATGATTAGTCGTGGTATAACATCGGTTGAACGTCTATTTAATCAAGACTATACTAAACAATGTACTAAGCAGGGTTTTGTGTTTGTTAATCCTTATGATTTAGGTCTCGTAGAAAATTGGAAACAATTTTTTAATGTTCGTACAGTAGGTGAATTTATTCGACGTGTTCTTTGGCCCAGCACACACCTACCAAGTGGTAATGGAATAATTTGGACTAATTGTAATGGTCAAAATCTGAACAAACAAACAAAATCTTCTAGTCAGACTCGAACTGATTCGAAGCAAGACATACAACCAAAAGAACCAATGGAATCTATGAAAGATCGTTGAAAAAACTTTTTCGTTTTTTTTT